TTGAAGATTGAATTATATAATTTTACGTATATCAACACCTGACTGTACTGGCGAAGTTTAACGTTCGTATCAAAAAAAGAGACGTTTCGACGTTTCAAATTATTTCATATCTCAGAAGACTTCTTGTTTTAATTTTCCTTTTTTTATAATCGTGACTTAGGATTAAGAATGCCCGACCCACTTCTTACTCCAAATAAGATAAAATCTTAAAAAAGAGAAACATGCTTCTTACTTGTAATATATTTTCTCTCTTGGATAAAAAGAATATACACCTAGAGTGCTAACTGACCATTTTCCAGCATATAGAATTTACTAGTTACCATACGTTCTCTGTTGCGAGTATGACTGAAATTGTGTGGTTCTAACTTGGGGCAAAGGGATTTTACAAAAACAATACATCCAGCGCATTAGTTGCTCATCGTAATGAGAGTGACCATTATTTCGATATAAAAAAATGTTACTCTAATTAAGAGAGTGTAGCGGACTGTCGGTTTACGTGTTGTTAAATTAGGAACACGTGTTTATTCTTGCTAGAATATTAAAAAGGTCTACTACAAGAATATGGCGGACTCAAGTTGAGTCCAACCGAAGATGTAAAGAAAACAAACAAGACCGATATATATATATATATATATATATATATATATATATATATAGACAACAAGCATATGTATTAATCAACAAAATTTACAATGGACATAGACATTTGAACAGTTGTGTTTGTGTGTGAACGTAGAGTTTGTATTTTGGTGAATGTTCCTATGTACGTGTATGTGTGTATAATGCTCATGGTGTCTCCCACAAATGGGAAGACGGAATCTTTTGCGAGAGCTTACACTGTAGATGTTTTCGCTGAAATGAAAATGAGAACAAGGCAAGAAATCTCTTAGTATTTATTAGTGTAGGGAGAGCGTCCCCTAGTGAACAGTTAGGAAATTAAGGAGAAGTTAACTCCGACAAAAGAAAACAATTCACTAAGACGAAAATGTTTAGAAATTGCTTTAATCGCTAGATCATGTGTGGGGTATTCACCACTCACACCATGGTAGTAGGAATTAGGCTTGTTTTCAACAGGAAAATAAACGCACACAATCACAGGAAAAGCATTGTAAATTTTATGTTAATTTCTTATTTATATATTTATGTGGATTGGATTTTTTTACGTCATAATAGTGTTATGGTACATGTTGTAAAAGGGTAATATTAGGTACATCCATGAGATCGCAAAAAAAAAAAAAGAGCATAGCATGATGAAAAAGACGCCAAACTTGACGAAAACAAAATGTTATCGTCTAAATGCTTATGTTATTATTAAGAGGAAAGATCAAAGTTTATTTTAATTATTTTAAAAAATTTTCCTTCTTTTTAGAACATTCTAAATTTTGATTAAAAAAAAAAAAAAAACTTGTTTCTCTTTGTATCACCGGAACTAGTAAAATAATATATACAATTTTTAGCACGGTTTTTTTTTTTTTTTTTTTGTATGACACACATTAATTTAGAAAATCTTGCAAAAATAAAAATAATTGTCGGATGTTAATGAAACTTTCAGAAACTATTCACAGATGATCGAAATTATTATAAATGTTTTTTTCATTAAAGTCATGGCAGAAATATTTTTTTATATTTATTACCCCACTCCCTAACTAATTTTATGAAAATGCTAGAAATTCGATCGCGTCAGGTTTAGTGATTACAATAGTTAAAAGCACAAGGCTTTGAGGAATGCAAATCATATTTTTTTTTGTTTTTAATTGCACCCCTCTACCTGAAAATCAGCTCTGAATTGTAACATACAAAACTCAATAAAACAAAGATATTATTTAATTTCAAATGCTTTTATTTGCTTTTAGTTGTTTTTATGAATATGGACAATATTTTCTGAAAGCAAAAAATTTTTTGTATGAAAAATGAATTTTTAATACAATTATTTGTTATTTCTTTAATTATAATAGATTTTTACATTTAAGTTATTAGAATATTATAAAATTAGTTAAAAGCTGCATTGGGTTTCCTAAGTGTCCTTATGAAATAGATCTTTTGTTATTTGAGTTAAGCATTGTTCTCCGCTGTTAAGGCCTTTACTTTTGCGAAACACGTGTGGAGAAGTTAATTTGATTTTTCAATTTCAACTGAGAAGGGTACCTATAAGTATCAGTATCATCTTATGAAATTTATATGATCTTATTTTTATAATCTCAGTTATGACATTTTTCCATAAATGAAACATTAAAATTAATAAAATGAATGGAAATACAAATAATACAGTAAAATGTAATAAATGTACATAAAATTATAGTATTTTATGTACACTTCTGATAAAATTTCATAAGAAAGGTACCTATAGATTAATAAATTAACCTTTCTTATGAAATATGAAATTTAATCTCACTCTTAACAGTCTTATTTTAATTTCTTTATAATATATTTTCCATAAAGCATCGTAATCGTAAAGATGAAAGCTAAGTACAAAAAAAAAAAAAAAATTAGAGCGCTGAAAGTTTTCCTTAAAAATAACGAGGTAAATAATTCTTTCACTTAAATGTAAATAATTTCACTTTTCTCCTTCCGTAGAACAAATTATCCTCACGAAACCCGTCAATATGTCATTCATCATCTGTGAAGTGAGGCGAAAGTTTATGACCTGCTTTGTTTTATTTTCAAATTACATCTTTTCGGTGCAGAAGTTAAGTTAAGCTTGGTTCAAAATATTTTAAATAAACATTATAATTTCTGATTTTCTTAAAATAAGTTTTGAAAAAATGATAATTGATATTTAAAAGAATTTCAAAGTGAAATTTTCATTTTTTTTATAAAATGGAAAAAAATGGTTGCCAAAGATTTTTAATGAAAATTTCGGACGTGCTAGGAACGATTAAAAAATATAAAAAAATATCCCTAAAATACTTTGATTTTTCCTCTTAATAACATAAACATTTAGACGATAAAATTTTGTTTTCGTAAAGTTTGGCGTCTTTTTCATCATGCAATGCTCTTTTTTTAGGGATCTTCTGGAGGTACCTAGAATATTTACTCCGTAGTATTGCAATTCATATCACATAGAAAAGTTACACAAGTGTTATATTCCTTACGGTTCTTGGGTGAAGAGATTGAATCTAATGAATGTCTTTTGGCGGGATGTCTGTATTTTCAGCAGGAACAGTTTTCCTTGCATGTTGGGAGTAATTTTATTATTTTTATTTTTGATTTATTTTAAATAAGGTTTAAATATTATTGTTTTACTTATAATTTTCATTATTATTTCAAATATTATTTTTATTTATTTATAATAATAATACTGAAATCCCTACATATCGACAGTAAATTTGCAGCCAGGTTCTTACGTTTCACCATTCTTAGCAGATCTTGTTATCACAATATGGGATATTTAATAACAAAGATGATAGGGGAAAAAAAAAAGAATTTAAATTAAATCAGATTATATACACATAAAAATAAAAACAATAAATTTTAAAATCCCCAGTGTCACTGGAAAACTTTTCCCAGTTTGTCATACATCTTTTTATCAACATTGTTATTTAGATATAAAAATTTTATATTGGTATCCTATGATCAGCAGTAAAATTTACGAAGCAGTATTTTCAGAGTAGCCAGCCACTTGAGCAAAAGAGGAAATGAAAAGTTTTGTAGTTTACAACTTGGTCGGAAGAACAAATAGATTTAAGCAGAACAATAAAAATGTCCTTCCTTCTTTTCTACTGGGAACAGCTAAGTAGGATTTATTCCAAAACGAACACATTCTTGATATTTATCATATTCCTTCTTGTTATTCGCAAAAATAATAACCCGCTCATTTTTCTTTCCATTATAGCTGGAAAGGAAGCGATACGTTTCCGTAATTATCTCCCCTTCAGTGAATTTTCTATCTTTTCGGGCGTTGTATCAGAATACACTGCACGTTGTTAAAAAAAAAATGACACATTCTTATACGGGTTCGATTGTCCGAGAGAGGCAGGCATTAGCCCGAAAATGTAGATGAGCTTCGCGATCCTCTTAAGAGGTCCTTGATTGATGAATTAAAACAATTTCTTAGACACTTGAGACTGAAATACAATCCTTGAAACGACTGCACTGTATTTCGATCTTCACTGTGCATGCTGGCTTAGGTAGACAAACTATCCAGAAAATAAATATGTACTCAGGACATAATGTAGTATTAATGACCTTTGTGAGTCGTATTGAACTAACTTCATATTGTCTTTGGAGTACTGGATATCAAAGAATCGATTATAATGATGTGCTAAAAGCAATAAGAATAAAGAGACTACTCAAAAAGAACAGAGAAAAATGAATATATTTCCTTTGTTTCGCTCTTCAATTGTTTCCGTTATCTTTACTATATGGGGTCCTTCTCTTCAATTTCCACTTGCAGACTTATATAAAGTCACAGAATTGAGTGTAGTTACCAACTGTCCACTGGTGTGTACAGGCTGTTCGAGATATAGTCTACCAACTAGATTGTTCATTACAATTCCGATGCCACCTGTTGGTGTTACCAGCTGTGTGTCAGGATGTAGAGATAGACTGAATGGAAAAGCTACTCATAGTCTGTCCCAAGTGTCACCTACCTACCTCTCAGAACATGATGGAGACAAGATTTGAGATTTAATTTCTAACCATGGTGTTAATTTCATCTTTCATTCCCCTTCTGAATGTATAGTGAGCTTTTCCCAGTTTGTCGTTAGACAGACACTAATGAGAATAGAGAAACCACATGGGATTATTTTCCATTAAAAACCTGAGAGAGGGATGCATTGTATATTTACATAAATAGTTCATCAGAAAGACACTTTACCTCTTTTGAAAGTGATAAAATGCTGTGATTACCAAAGTTAAGCAGCATTGAACCTAATTTGATTGGTGACAACTTAGGAAAACCAGGTATTGTTTGATTGTAGTTTAATGACAGGTGAAACAAAACAGTGAGTAATGAAAAATAACCAGGAGTTAAAAACAAGTTTGTCAATCTTAAACAATTGTTAGGAAGGAAAGAGCTTTTTACGAAAGAAAAGAAGGATGGAAGGAAGGAGATTGTATTGCAAAAGAAATAAGAAAGGAAGGAAATTGCGTGACGAAGGAAAGAAGAAGATTGTGTTACCAAAGGGAGGAGATTGCGTTACAAAAGAAAGAAGGAAGAAAGGAGACTGCATTTCAAAAGAAAAAAGATGGAAGGAGATTGTGTTATGAAAGAAAGAAGGAAGGAAGGAGATTGCGCTACAAAAGAGAAGCAGATTGTATTACAAAAGAGAAAGAAGGAGATTGTGTTATGCAAGAAAGAAAAAAAAGGAAGGAGATTGCATTATGAAAGTGCGTTACAAAGGAAATTATATGACTTCACTGAATGTCTAGACCTGATAGAGGAACTATATATACATGACTAGTGAAGACTCCAATACCGAAACACTCCAAGGCTCATATTAAGGCATAAAGCACCAATTTATTTCATCTCTTTCTAGATTATACTCTGTGCAAAAATGAGCACAAATGTGAAGAGATAGGCACTGATTCTTTAAGCATTCCGTACCAGATCCCAAACAAATCTGCTAATAGAAAACAGTGTCCTTGTTTTCCCTCCCCAGGCCAATGTACTAATGATGACTAAAATTATAAAAAAACCTTAGTTTGTCTTCCTGCTGTTCCATTCTTCTCTTCTTTATCTTATTTTCTTCTTTCTGGAATCCATTAGAAAGAAAGAATGAATGAATGAATGAAAGGATCTGTAGGTGGTAATAAATACAAAATATTGATTTATTCAGTTGGGATAAGAATGGTATTGAACAAAATGTCAACATTCTCTACCAAGTGTTTCAAGAAATAGGACTCCTGATAATTCTTCCCAGAACAGAAACTATGATTTGGAATTGGAATGAAAGTAGTGATGGCTTGTACCTTGAATCAATCATAAAAATTGAGGATGTGGACTTAGTAAATACTAAAAATTTCAAGTACCTTGGTGTAAGAATCAGTTATAACAAATTTAACTGAGGAAGATAAGGAAATTGACCATAGAATAGAAAGTGATAAGTGTAATTTTGTCCGTCACTGCAAATTGCTACAAAACCAAAAAATTAACCTAAAATCATGAGCTATGTTCTCAAATCATCATCAGATAAAGACTTTCATATGGATGCCATGCATAGCAACAAAATTGTTCAGAAATATCTAAACTGTTAGCTGTATAAAACTGCTTTCTCAGATCAAAACTTAAAATGGCTTCCAATGAATTAAACAAGAAGGTCTTAGAGAGGACCATCCTTCTTCAAAACTTTGTGAACTGGCGCTACAGAATCACAGACAAATGACTGTCTCAAATAACAGAAATCACATCACCTGAGGACTTTCAGCAACAAGTAAAAGGAATAGCACATGTAACTTGAAGAGAAAATAATGACATAATCAAGCTTTTGATGTTCCACACGACTTCAAACAAAAGGTTAGGAAGGAAACCCATCAATATTGGAATGGGTGGTAACAGTTACTGCACTTGAGAAACAGATTTTCCTGAATTGTTTTAATAGAAAGATTTTATAAATTTCAACTAAAAGTAGCACTGAATGCTTAGTTAATGAATGTCAAATGTTTCATTCTAAGGAAATAGCTAATATTATCATGTTAAGAGAATCTATATGGATGAAACTTCTCAGACGTCTGATACATTTAAATCAAAGACTTTAAAGAAGTCTTTGATGTGGTCAGATGACCTTAGAAAGTGAAGGTCTTCGTCCGAGTATTTGTATTTGTTGGCAAGTGCCAAAATTAAAGGAGTTGGCTGGCAAAATCAGTTGTAGAAATTTGCTTCAGAGCAGTCCATTTACTACCATTCAATGACCTGACAAGTAAACTATACTGCTAAAACACAGTAACTCCCAATTGAAGCTACTTCTAAAATTTTTTTAAGTTCTTGCCAGTAAGTCTTTATATGTTTTCCTTTTTAGCCATTGACCAAATCACTAAAATTATAATAAAACTTTTTTTTTTGTTTACTATAAAATGTTTCTCTGTCCTTCCATTTGCTTTTCTTTCTCTTATTTTTGTCACACACATGACAACCATTAGAAAGAAAGAAATGACCAGTAGGTGAAAATATATACAAAATATTGATTTATTTGCTAAAATGTGGAGTTTATCAATCAGAAATATTTGAACTGTCAGCATTTTTCATCTTTTTTTCTTTCCTTTTTTGGAACTTTTTCTTTTTCTTCTCAAGTATTTTCTTCTTCTTCACCATGACAAGATCCAGCACCTTGGACTTCTGACCCTTTTTCTTCATCAAATATTTCTCTTCTTTTAGATCTTTGAGTGCTCCAAGAGACACTTCTGCAATGAGAATAAAAGAAATGAAAAAAAAATATTAGCAATATTTGTATTTGTAGATGTAAATTAAAGAAAGGTTGCTCTCAAAGAACCTGCAAACACCATTTAGGAGAATAATGACATTGACAAGGAGGAAATTCAGAAATTGAGGCAAAATGGTGCATCACAGAAGCCAAATGAAACAAACAAAAAGAATAGAAGAAAAAAATGACATGGCTGAGCAGAGGACATTTGAAAAGAGAAACTGAATCCTTGTCAACAGCAACTTAAAACTAGTGCCAAAACACCATTATGATGAAGATTGACAAAACACATGACAGCAACTATTCTCTGTGCAGTGACAAAGATGAAACACATCAATCATAAATGAATATAGCAAATTAGCCCCAAACTTTTTTATGGCTTGCCAACCTACTACAGGTTATTTAAAGCCAGAAAATATTTTTTGGAAATAATGATTTACTGGTACAAGTCCTACTAATTAACCCATAGCTGGAGTGAGAAAATATGGCTTTATACATTTCCCAAAGGTACCTGCATGTAAGTGAATATAACGAACCCAACTGGAATTGGAACTTGGCTCTCTGATTTACAATTCTGAGCCGTTATCCATTATACCAGCTGCACATCTAAGCATACAGCATCTGGTTTTCTCAAGGGGTCACTGGCTGAGATACTGACCAGCTTGATTTTGCTTAACTTTTCTTTCTTAACACAAGCTAGCCCAGAAGACGTAGATATGAATGGGTAGGAATGGTGACACTTTGGGAATTGTGTATTGAATTTGAACATATGTCATACGAAAAAACGAGGAATTATTTTAGAGAACAGAAAGAGAATTTCTACTTGATTAGTACTAAAAAAAAAAAAAAAAAAAAAAAAAAAAAGCCCCAAAATAACAGACCAGTTAGAGTGTTAGTTTTATTTTTGTAAACTTCTGCTCTAGGGGTAGTAGAAAAAGGTATTAAGATCTGTACTAACTTTGGAATAGCAGCATCTAATTCAACACCAGCACTTTTTTCCTTTCTGAGAGTACCAAAGAGATTCTTATAAAAAGCCAAGCCTACATTTTAAAAGATTTTACAGATTGGTACTGTACAATCCATAGATGGGCAAAAACATTAGCCAATTGCTGGTATCTCCTGACGAGTGGATCAATTGATTGCTGGCGGGTCTGTCTACAAGTTGGGATGCTGAAAATAACATCAATCACCTAAATGACAAATTTTATATCTGTATTAATCCTATGTATGTTGTGGTACAATGGATATCAGCTCAGAATGAGAAACTGAAGAGCCAAGTTCGAATTCATGTTGAGTTTGTTGTATTCACTTGCATGTTTATGAATCCATCTCTTCTCCTCCTAGCTATTGGCTGATAACTAGTCTACTGTAGAAAGCAATGGCAACCTACTGCGGGAAAATCTTCTGCCAAGTCAGTCATGAATTGAAAGAAACATGACTACCATAGTGTGTATCTCATATGGCATTTAAATCTAAAAACTAATTTTGATTTTTTTTTTTTTTTGGAAAAGGTCCTTTGTAATATAAATATATCTTGTGTCTCCCCTTTATTAAATTTTTTAAACCAATTTCGGTGAATTTTCTGTCTTTCGAAACAAAAGAAGTCCAATTACGTTGATTTTCAAAGAAGAAATATTGCTGACATATGAAATCCCTTTTCTAAACAATTATTATCAACATCTGCTTACTTTGAGTTTTATTATCTGCTAGTGTTCACATGTTATCAAAAATGATGGCAAGTATTAAAAGTTTTAATAGTGAGATGCAATGAAACAATGTCTTCAGATTCAATAAACAATTCAATGATGACTAAAGTGAAAGAAAATTACTTACTCTCTTCGGCAGGTAACTGTAATTTGCCCATTTTTGTTGGGTACTTTGTCATGAATTTCTTCGATGAAACCTTGTAGCCCAACATTGCATTCAGCTCTTCTCTCATAGAAGAAATCCTTTGGTGATGGTTAGCCTGTTCTTTTGTATCACCAAGATCCAAACTAAGAAAAATTGGTCAAGGACAATAAGAAATCGAAAGGAATAATCAATAAGGTCAAAACTTTGAAATGGTGTGACACTATGCTTGAGGTACTCACATAGAAAAGGAAGATTTGAATTTAAATTGATCTAAAGTGTTTCTGTTTCATAGTATTGCCAGTCACTCATCGGGATGTGTAGATGGTTGGATAGTTGACAGGGGGAAGAGGCGAGTTGTTATGACAACTTATATGGCAATTCCCAAGGTGGGAGTGCAGAATTAATTTCAACTCCGAACTAATTTCTGGCAGCCACTGCCAAACCCTTATTGCCCCGTTGTTTGACATTTTGTGATTTCCACCTGAAATTTTCTATGCTAACCAACTTGAATTCTATGTCAACTTCAAATTGAAGTACCAGTAATTCACCCAACTGTTCTGTAGTTTGTGGACTGAGGAAAGGATCCATGCTTTATAAGTCTAATAGGGTTTTCTATTATAAAGCAAAAGCTTCTTGGAAGTTGATAACTTCGATTTTAAATAGAGTTGAAATTAGTTCTGTCACTCCCCAGGTGTTACCTACCCAGACTGAGCAAGTTAGTTGTTTGTTGACAATTTAAGGAGGATAAATCAATAAACACAAAGGGGAATAATTTTTCCAAGCAGTCAGAACTTCCCAACCTTCATTTCATCTTGAACCATACCAAGCTCAGCTTTCATATATTACATACATACACACACACACACAATATATGTGATAAAATATAGTTTTAAGCTATGCTATATTTATGGACTAGCAGCGTTGCCTGTGCTTGATTCAAAAATCATATGACTCATACAGAAATCGCTATCACTTGACTTAAAATACTTTCTACCCTTCCTTGCCTTTAAAGGAGTAACCTTTGCCGTGCTGATGTTGCTACATGCCTTACTTCTTGCCTATCTCACACTGCAAATTTTTTCTAAGCTCTATACTAAACATTAAATCTGTTACGAAAAAAAGAACTAAACAAAATGAACACAAATCTATCAGCTTTAAAAAAGGACTGGAAAAACTGAATGAAAAAAGAATGTTAACAACAAATACTTTTTCACACCCAGCACAGTTCTGCGGAATCAGAATCAACGTTGAGTTTAAGCAAGCAAATGAGCCAATTGGAGTAAAGTGCCATGCAGATTTAAATTTTTCCCACTTGTGATGAATGCAGCTATCGATATTTTTTGCATGCTAGTTAACATTCATGTCAGTCAGCTGTTGGCTCTAATGCTGGCCAATAGAATCTTCCTGCCTATTCATGGCAGCCAGCTATAGGCTCTCACTCTGGCCAGTACAAAATGGCCACAAACTACATGAAAACTGCCGTAGAAGCATGAAAAAAATCGATTATTTCCACTATTGATGGGAGTTGGGAAATGCAAAGTTGGTCTTGGCCTTCCCGCTAACTTAGAGCATGTGCATGTAAATTTTGGTGCAGATCTGTGCGGCTGTGCATTTGTTACACACACACACACACACACACACACATCCTGCCTTTTTATAGATAGAGATTAAAATGCTCAACATCAGGAGTAGAGCATATGTAAATATAAAAATTTACACTGAAGTCAACAGCCAGAGATGACAGTCTGTTTCAAGCTAGACACAATTGTCAGGCCTGATGATTGCATGAAACAGACTGTTGCCTGTGAGTGTTGACTTCTTGATAAAAAAAATATCGGGTGTGGTGTTATAATTCTATAAAAAGAAACCAACAAAACATCAATTCAGCATTTAATATCCTTTTGTAGTAGGCCCCTCTGTAATCACACACTTTATCCTGAGTAGTTTCCATTGATAGAAGCATTCCTTAACTCTTTTTGGAGAATAGCAAGCAGCTGCCTCATTGTATTCTCTGGGATTTCCTCAGCATCTTGAAATCTTGTTCCTTTCAAGTGAGGATTTGAGGTTTGGAAAAAGGTAAAAGTTGAGAACTGGGGAATATGGTGGTTGTCAAATCTGGAGAATGTTGGCCTTGGCCAAAAACTGCTGCACAAGCCATGATCACTGATGGAACATTTGTGTGTGTGATGAAATGGTCACATTATACACGCTTTCCTTCCATAAATAACAGAAGTGAACGAGAATGTTATAACTTAGTGTGTAGGCATGACAGAGTTCAAGGTCAACCTGTGCCAAGCAGCTTCACTCTGTGTACTTAGCTCTGTCACCATAGCAACAATCCTGATACTTTTTGTTCAGACCTTGGATATATATTTTCAATAAACTATATACAAGTGCCATATCTTGTTAAGCTGACTCCAGAGTTTCATGACAAGACACTCATGATAACCGGATTTATCAAACATCTGATCCTGATGAGAGTTTTGATGTGAAACTCTCAAGTCGGACAACCAGATAAATCACTTGAACTTTGTTATATTGAATTTTATAGCTGTAGTTTTCTGTTTAGCATTTTTGGCAGAAGCTTGGCTCTTCTGAAGAAAAAAAATGTAAATGTTTTTCAATTTGTGTTTAATGCCTATCTAGATGACTCATGTTACACCTACCTGACTGTAGCTCAATTAGGACTCATTTAAACATACATGGAAACCTATCAAACTTCATCCGCAACATACTAGTAGAAAATACAAGTATAATAGCCTTATCCACATGTAAAAAAAAGATTAAAAATAACGGAAGCACTAATAGTAAAAAAAAGGAAAAGTCAACACTCAATAACATTGACTATTGACATGGCCACAACATGTTTGGAAAATAAAACATTCCTATAACTTCAGACACCTCCATAGACAACAAAAAAAATAAAAATAAAAATAAAAAAATAAAAACAAACAACACTGTCAGTTAAAAATAAAAATTGTGTTTGAGCCTGGCTAAAAGAATATCTGAAAGTGCTCTGATATGCAGAACTTTTGGACAGTTTTTACACACTGTGTCCAGAAAAGAAAAAAACTGTACGAACATAAGAAAAATGAAATAAAATGGATAATGGCAGTACCTTGTCAGTCTACTTTAATGAAACATGTATAAAAGAAAGATTGCTGCCCAAATACATATGATATATAGTTAATGAAATTGAAAAAAAATTAACATAATTTTCAACTAGGAATAGTGGGAATTATATCCTTTTTTCTTCTCGGTGCCATGGAAAAAGAATAAATAAGTAGAAGTGTGGGGGAGAGAAAAAGAAGAAGCGTGGGGAGAGAAGAATGAAGTAGGGTGAGAGAGAGAGAGAAGAATGAAGTAGCATGGGGAGAGAGAGAGAGAGAAGAATGAAGTAGCATGGGGAGAGAGAGAGAGAGAAGAATGAAGTAGTAGCATGGAGAGAGAGAGAAGAATGAAGTAGCATGGAGAGAGAGAAGAATGGGAGAGAGAAGAAGTAGCATGGAGAGAGAAGAATGAAGTAGCATGGGGAGAGAGGGAGAGAAGAATGAAGTAGCATGGGGAGAGAGAGAGAAGAATGAAGTAGCATGGGGAGAGAGAGAGAGAAGAATGAAGTAGCATGGGGAGAGAGGGAGAGAGAGAGAGAGAAGAATGAAGTAGCATGGGGAGAGAGAGAGAGAGAGATGAATGAAGTAGCATGGGGAGAGAGAGAGAGAGATGAATGAAGTAGTATGGGAAGAGAGAGTAGGAAGAGAGAGAAGAAAGAAGTATGGGGAGATAGAAGAAAGGAGAAATGGAAGAGTGACATGTTAAACGTACATTGTTGATTTGTATGACAAAAACATTGCAAATGCTGACATAAATTTTTAACATAGTAGTTTTTTTTTTTTTTTTACAATAATTATTTTTTTTTTTTGTTTTGGTGTTAAAGCCACTGTGTTTATTAAAAATTATTATTTAATTCCGATCAAGGAGTGTTATTGAAAAAAAGCAATAAATATACTCTAACACAACATTTAATCATTTCTCTGTCTACACCCAAAATAAAAGATAGGTTTACAATTGACATTTTTCTCAATGTGTTATTGAATGAGAAAAGTCAGGATTTAGGTGTGAACCTTTTCATAGAGAAACTGTATATCTTTCTTAATTCCTCAGCTTTCCTTTTTATCCAAGCAAAAATATTACTTTTTATGATTGACGATAATTTTTGACAGTTTACACGAGAACTTGCAGATGAAACCTGTGACGCACTGAAATCTATAGTTGAAGTAAATAAAATACAATTGGTTATTTCTTTGACTTACAAAAGTCGCGGGTCGGGGGGAAGGTTGCTTACACATTTCAGCAAAACTATTGAGCTTATAATTAGTTTTCATGGAGGTTGGTGTCAGCTTTCTCTTTCTGTGTCAAAAAGGGACAAGTGCCAAATTTGATAAAGCACTTAGTAAATAGGATAGAAATATCTACCTTTCTGACTGCACAGAAGAGAGAAGAAAAAAAAATAGCTGATGATCCATTATATTTTTTGATACATTATCAATCTGTTTTTAGTACAAGAGAGATAAATGTTAGATACATAAACATGTGATTTGTGAGCTTATCTGGGAGGTTGTCTGAATTGTTTCCAAACAGCTGCTTTTTTTTGTGAACTTAATTTGTAACCACCCATAAATTTGCACATCATTTACTCACTTTTGTTTATTTAAATTATGTCACTTAGCATTGGCCAGAATTTACTTAGGTTTTTTAGTTAGACTGATGAATATTTATGAGCGAGAAAATTTGAATAATATTTTTACTTTTATTCATAAATACTTGTTGCAGAATAAAATCTTTAGATTTGCTTTAAGTCCATCAGAGAATGAAATGCATCAGTTAAATTTTCCTTCTGCATATATATATATATATATATATATATATATATATATGAGAAATATAGTTTTAAGGTGCGCTATATTTATGGGATCAATAAGTGCTCAATATCAGAGATAGAGTGTATATAAACATAAAAGTGAACATTGAAGTCAATACTCAGGGGCAACAGGCTGGCCGCAATTGTCAGGCCACGAATGTTGTTTTTTTTTTTTCCTCGACTATTTATATATATACATATACAATGCACCACTGACCCATATAT